ACCTCACACTCATCCTCTCGCATCCCATCCAGATTAAAACGTTCATATTTCCAATATTGAAGTCCAACATGCAGGTTTCCGTGTCTATTTGCCTCATGAAAAACAAGGAATTCGTCATCGTCGATCTCGTCGTCATCGTGCATGAGAACTAACATTTCCTCCTCCATTTTTGATATAAATCAATTTTTGTGGCTATTCTGAGTCGTCTTCCTCATTTGTAACTTAAATTGAGCCAGCGAAGTAGGGTGCCTCAACTCAATTAGTACCCAGACCTCCATGAGCCATCTTCACTTCCGTCTTCACTTCATGTGCAAACAATGCTCCTTTTCCCAGTGGCATTATTCAATTGCCTCTGGAATACCTGTATATGAGACCTCTGCTTGCGAGTCAGGTATCAAGTTGTTAACACTACAATGGTGTGGAAAAGATAAATCTGTGATGAATAAGGAGGCACATCTAGCGGGCCTAACATAGTACCAAAGTCTGTTTCTTTTTTTAGATAATTAGTGATTATATGTGGTTGTTTAGATGCACTCAGGCAATTTCTAACTGCTGATTTGAGTACAACATCAGAAGAACTGATATTGAAACCAAAGCGGAGGCCATGTAAAAGCCATTGTTTATCTTAATAATCATAGTTAGACAGCAGTAAATTCCAAAAAAGTAATTTAGTGGTGATATAGCCAAAGGCAATATAAGGGGATTTAGATTCCTCTCAACAGTAGGTTGTTCCAGTGGGGAGAGTCACTTGGAGTGGGCTCTCTTGCCTGAACCTTGTGGTACTGGCCCACAAAAATTAGATTCAGATGCCGCTGGGGGAAGACATTGAACCTGTGTTTGACAGGTTTCTTTTTGTGGGCGCCACAACAAACAGAACAAACACTATGAGCATAACAACAGTGTGCCATTGTGCATTCACCAAAACAGGGGAGAGAATTTTTTGAAGCAATCATGCTATTTCCCTCTCTTATGCCTGGCACTGGCTGCACAGCGGTAGACACAGAGCATGCAACAGGTGTGTTGACTGAGGCACCATATTAATAGGCTCAACAGCTACTGAGGAGGTTGGGTTATCCAAAACCATGCTAGGGCCCTGAGCAGGCAAAGATGAACACTCAGGAGGAGGAATCACTTTTAAAAACGAAGGGGAAGATGCAGGATGCTCCTGGCTTTCATATGACGGGTTGACATTATCAACAGACACACCTGAAACTGACTGTGAAAGGCCTGCTGGATTTCAAGACACAGACACTTATATATATAATTGCAGTTACGCAGTCCCGACATGGAGGTTTAATGTTGTTTCTGCTTCTGCAGCTCTGCACACTACTTCTGATAATCTTCTCCATTCTTTGCAGTCCCTTGCTGTGGATCGTATCTTTTCAAAATCTCCATTGTTCTTTATGTTCGGTAGTGAAAAAAACCTTTCCATTGCTCTTGCTCTGGTGATATCTTTATTTAAGGTTGTCACGAGAGTTTCTCTAGGTCTGCCTCTGAATCCTCTCTCCGATCCCTCAAAGTAAAATCTCATTGCCTTCACAGCCGGTGTATCGTCGGACAAACGTAATATGTGACCAAACAGCCACCATCTAGCCTTGAGGATGTCAATTGAAATTGGTCCTTCTTCGCATCTTTTGTACAAGTTCTGATTGGAGATCTTGTTAGGGTACTTTTTCCCTATTAGCTGTCTCAGTTGCTGTCTGTGAAAAGCATCTAGACCTTTCGTATCTTTTTGTGTCAGTCCCCAAGTAGAGCTGCTATACATCAGAACTGGTTTTACAAGTGTTCTGTAAAGCTTGAGGCGAAGTTTTTCGCTGACGTGGTCTTTTCTGATCCAGATGTGATTTAATCTATTCATGGATGCTATCGACAACTGTTTTCTTCTTTGTATATCTTCCGTATCACTTAACAGAGAGCCTAGCTTTTTAACTGTCCTCCATCGCTCTGTGTTTCTGTCTCCTCGAAAAATTTCTGTTTGCTCTATTTTGCTGTTGTTTACTTTCAAATTATCTCTAAGCAGAATTTCTCAAATCTTTTCTGTGATGATATTCTTCTCCAATTCACTAGTTGTGAGGAAATCAGCATCGTCTGCGTATATAGCTTCCTGAGGTAGAAATGTTGGAGACCAGTTACCATTTTCTTCGTGATCTTTACTGTTAATCTCATGTCTAAAATTCCTTACTTTTCGGAGTGATTCTTCAAAATAAATGTTAAACAGTACACCGCTGAGCGCATCACCTTGTGGTGAGCCCATATTGCTACTGAAGGGCTCTGTCTCGGCGTTGTTTATTCTCACATCTAGAGTTGTATTGCTTAATAACAACTGTATCATTCTTACTTCATCTTCGTTGAGGAATTTCTTTGCAATATCAACAAGCTGTTCACGTCGGATTGTATCAAAAGCGCTACTCATATCTATGCTAGTGATGTAAACTCTAATTTGTGATTTTTGTGTCTTTGCACTGATCCATTTGTATGCCCACACTATATCTGAAGTACTGCGACTCGGTCGATATGCTGCTTGTGAATCTGATAAGAATCGTTCTACCTTAGGTTGGATGCGATGTAGAACTATGCTTGACAAGATCTTTCTCAGTATTGGGAGTAATATCACTGGTCGTAGGTTGGTGACAGGGCCTTTGGTTTTTCCAGGCTTCAGCAAGGACACAAGTATGCCGTCGCCCAATCCTAGTTCTATTTCTTTTTCAAAGGCTTCATTCAGGGTATTTTTGAAGGCTTTGGACATGGCCAAAGGGCCATACTTTACCATTTCGGCAGATATATTGTCAATTCCTGGAGTTTTGTTGTTGTTCAGTTTATTCATGCCGGCTGTAACTTCTTCTATTGATATTTCTTTATTAAGTTTTCTTGGCAGACCATCGAATGGATTTATACTACTAACATCATCGTCGTTGAAATGTTTCTCGAAATGACCTCTAACAGACACTTGCTGCGGATTATTAGCCATATCTCTAATCATATGGAACATTTGCCTTATAGTGTTGTCAAGAGCATTAAATTTATCCATTGATTCTTGCCTGCTCCTGGCGTCCGTTTCCCTCAACATCTTCCCTGGCGGTGTGGATTGTTCGCTATCTCCCATCGCGCAAAAATATGGTTTCAACTTCAGTTGAAAAACAACAACAACAACAATATCAAAGTACGATTATGTTCGTTATCGACAGAAAATAACAATATCACAACAGAAAGTCAAAAGCAACGGTAATAAATGGAACTTTCTCACCAAGGCAGATCAAGTTACTAAGTAGGCACAAGTCTCTAGGCCACTTTACACCTCGTACTTCAACTGTGTCTCTGGTAAAACCAATTCTCTTTACAATCGAAATGAAGAACAAAATCCTAATCCAAAATAATAAAAAATTGAAATCCAATTGAACTGGGTTTCACAAAAATAAATAAAAGTCCTAAAAAACAACCCTGGAAAGTTTAATCTTGACTTTCTAGAGGTTAGATCACCATGTGACTGGAAGATCGTGCCCCCATCACGACATGTCAAGTGACCCAAAACCCATGCTCCTCCCTGGTGGCATTAACTGCTGTTAAACCTCTGCGCATCTAACAGATATTTACTTTGCCCTGTATTGTTTGGTCGATTAACGTTCTCAATTATACCTTTCTCAAGTTGTTCCTTAAATACAGGATGTTACTCCTTAAGCAATTCGGGATTTTCTTTCAACCAAGAGTAAAAGGAATTCAAATGACCTAAGGCCAATCCATAATTTTCCTTTAAATAAGGCAAACAATCAATTTTCCTAGGAAGACTTACTTTGTATCTTTCTCGCTTGAATTCAATGTCCATTACCTCAGACGATGTTTAGGATTTGCCTTCATCAACTTCTTTCTGGGTTTCTGTTAATCAATGGGCTTCATGCTTCCAGAATTCCTTCAGTGTTTCAGTTATCTCTCCGTTTTCATCTTGGTTTAGAAACTCAATTTAGAAACTATGACTAGATTAGAAATAACATTAGTGCATGTTTCAACATCAGAAAAGGTTTGATATTTCCCTGCAAGTAACCAGCCTAATTTTACTGTTAATTGCAACTGAGCCAGAATTACGCTTGATTATTTCACCTGTGACAATCTCATAATAAGAATCAGCACCTATCAATACATCGCTTATTGCGTTTACTTATATTCGCGTCAGCTTACTTAAGACCTTGTATATGGGGGTAATCATTAACTGCGCTGACTTCCACTATGAAAGAGGACATGTACCAAAAGCTTCTTAGACCGATCTTCTCCATATACATAGGCTTCTGCGGTTTGCAGCAAAACTTCATTTTTTCCGTGGTAGTTGCAGTGACTGTTTGCTCTGTTTCCTTTTGCTGCTCTGAATTTTCATTAAGGACACTGTCTTCTTCGATCCCTTGAAACAAATGGCTTTATGGTGGTAGTTTTTGCCACACGCTCTACAACTGGCAGTAGAGAGCACGATTTGCTAATATGTCCTGTTTTCAAAAGCAGCGTTTGGAATTAATCAATATCTTCTTTTGTTCATGGACATCGGTAATCTCATTATAGTTTGACGAAAAATGACTTTTTCAACAAAAACAGCACTGGAAATTATCATTTTACTTCGCTATGAATGATTGTGTGGTTCCTTGTTGTGAATTGTGCCTTGAATTAGCGTGCCTTTCTCGTTTCTTATCTTGCGTTTCGACACCATCACTAATTTCTCTAGCTATCATGGCAAGTTTAATTTTGGCAGATGCATTCCTCTATTTGAGGCTGTCAAGGCTCCACTTCGATTTAAAACGTGAAACATATTTTCATTTGATCGTAGGGGTAAATCCTAATTGATTGAGCTGTATGCTCGTAGTGATGTTGAAGCTTCTTCCCTCCCAGCTCCATTTGCACTGGGTTGAGTTAATCTTCCATTCTTAAAATATTTGATCTTTTCGATAATTTCGTTCAATCGAGAGTCCCATTCGGCTGCCTTGACGATTTCTTTCTTTTTTTTCTATAGAGCAGTTATCAATAATTTTTTTATCAAGCTCTTTCAAAAGTAGTTTCTTTTCGTTAAGCGTTGTTCCAATCAATTGCAGTTTGATAGCAAAGTTGGTGTTGAATTCATTTGTTTGTAGTTCATTTGCTTGTGTCTCAAGCTTTGTTACAACAGTTCGATTCCCTCAATGAAGAGCAACCAACTGTTTCTTCATTCGACATTTTCTCGCACAAATTTTATCGCCTTTTTATTGTGCCCTGCCCCTCGTTGAGCACCATTATTTAAAGAGTTTTAGGTCAGAACATTTTGAAGAAGACATCATTTGGGGCTCCAATTAATCTTTCCATGTTTCACTGGTGCAAAAAATTTTTGGAGCTATTTTTTCATTTCCCTCTGCCCCCTGCCTCTGATACTTGATAACTGCCCCCTAAGCTTGTTAGTAAACAAATGCTGATTTTCCAGTGCGGCCACCCAAATTGCCACTGAGCCAAATTCACTAATGCTTCAAAGATTTTGTTATCCTGCCCCAGAGCAGGATGAGATCCTTAAAATGATTAGCAATTAATGCATTTTCCTGGTTCCACATAATACCCATGTCAAATCGTCCATTGTTTTAAACCACATTACATTAGCCTAACAGCACACAACCACTCCACACATGAACTGCAGTGTGCTTGAATTTCCAAGCGGAAAATTTATTATCTTTGTCAAACTTGAAAAAGTATTCCGGATTTTCTACTTTTACAAAGATAATGAGTTTTTGGTCAAAAATCAGTGCATCTAGGTCCCAAATGTTTCATCTCCTAGCAAAAGTCTCACAAAAAAAATAATGATAAAACATAATATGACATTAGATGGTTACAAGTTGTTTTGAATGGCATATAGTTTGCTTTTCAATTTTTTTTAGATAAAGCGTTTGGCTTTGTACCCACTTGAAAAATTGAGTATGAAAGTCACCATGTTCATGTTTCGTGTTAGTAAATATCAGCTTTGTTACAGTTTCATTCATATTCTATCAGAAGTCCCACATGACCTGTAGATACATATACACTTAGGGGACAAAAGTATGGAAACGATGGCCTACACGGCATACTATGGCGTCAGCAGGCTGTGCAGGAGCTGTAAAAATCAACAGACTATATCATGATTGATAGCTTTCATTCTCAAACAATAGCTTTACCAATAGAAAGAGCAATTATAAATTAACTAAATTAACATTATTTTCAATTTAAAAGGTAAGTGTGCATGTTTTTTCAATATTTTGTCTGATATCCGTTCCGCTTTATAACCGCAAGCAGTCTTCTCGAAATTGACTCGTACAATTGAGAAATATATTTCGGAGGTATCTCTCGTCAGATTTTAAAGATTTGTTCAATCATTTGTTGTTTGTTCCTTGCAAGTTCTCTATTCATTTTTAATTTCATGAACTGCAAGACATTCTCAATTATATTAAGATCAGGGCTTTGAGCAGGTCAAGGAAGGATCATGATACTGTCGCAATAATGATCATGTCTCTCCCAGAGACGTAACTTGCAAGCCATCCGATAAATGGCTTTTTCTCCCTGCCCTGAAAGTTTATTCCGACGGCCACTTCTTTGCAGTTTTTCAATGGAGCCAGTTTTTTCGATGTGCTTGACAATCTTAAATGCCCCAGACTTACTGCAGCCAACTTGTCTGCCAATTTCTGCAAAAGAATGTCCCGCTTTGAAGCAAATGTTTCATGGCCACTCGTGCACTTTCTGTAAATTCTCTAATTTTAACCATCTTGAAATACTCGCTTTGTTTAACCTTTTATGCAAAATAAATGGGGGAATATTTTGTTTGTTATTTACTAGAAATATTTTTGGTCGTGTTTTCCTAACCTATGCTGATGCCATTCTTTATTTTCGTGC